TAGACTCTATGTAAATGAAATTGTTTTTTAAATTTTCCTTTCAGATTTTTCATTGCTAGCATATTGAAATGCAACCCATTTTCACACATTTCTCTCGCATCCTGCAAATGTGATGAATTTGCTCATTAGCTCTAGTAGTATTTCTCCCTGCTGTGTGTGTAGACTCTTTATGGTTTGTATATTTGACATGTCATCCACAAATAGGTAGTTTTACTTTCTTTCTAGTCTGGATTCCTTTTCTTTCCCTTTCATTTTATTTTTCTCCCCACCACTTCTTTTTCCTCCACCATTTCCTCTTCCTCCTCTTTTTTGTTTTGTTTTACCTTATAATCCTGGCTAAATTCTCCATTCAACATTGACTAGAAATGGTCAGAGCAAATATTTTTGTCATGTTCCTGATTTTAGGGGAAAATTTTGGTCTTTCACTAGACACAAATATCTAAAGATATTCTAGCAATTTAAATCCATATAATAAGAATTACATACAAACAAAAAAGATTATATAAAAGTATTTTATGTTAAATCCAGGTAGAATTTATTCAAGGGATACAAGGTTGATTCCACATACAAAAATCAATCATAAAAAGAGGCTGGATTTTGTAAAATACATTCTCTATATTTATTGATATGATCATGGTATTTTTTCTACTAAAATGATATATTTATTCATTTCTATTGAGTTTGTGTTGCTAAAGCTTAGTAGTCAAGGAAATCTCTCTTGATGACATAGTTTTAATGTTTCCATAATATTTGTCACTACCTGATATTGTCTTATTTGTGTATCACATTCATTTGAAAAGACTGTTTCCTGAGAAAGTTCCTAAGAAGAATTTTTTAACTGTTCATTATTTTATATCCATTGCCTTTACAATGAAAACCAGAGAAAATGATTAGTAAACATTTCTTACATTAATTTATACATTATTATGTTAGGTAAGACTATTTCATAAGATTTTTTCCCTAGTCTCATTATAATAAGACTCAGATCTTAGCTTAATTTTGGAGTTCCATTGCTGCTGCCTCCATATGGACTTTTATTTATTTTTGTACTTCATTTATTTATTTGTGTTAGTTTTTCATTGCTGTGTACAAATTGCCCAACAAGAACAACATAGAGGAGGAAAAATATATTTTGGCTCATGGTTTCAGAGGTTTAGTCCATGGTTGCCAACTCCATTGCCCTGGACCCAAGGTGAGGCAGAACATCATGGCAGAAGGACATGGTGGAGGAACACTGCTACATTCATGGTGTCCAGGAAGGTAAGAAAAAGAAGGGAAGGGGGCACAGGGAAGATAGCCCTTCCGGAGCATAACTTCAGTGACCTACCTCTTCCAATAGTGGGACATGATGTCCTACCTGCCTACAGTTACCACCCAGTTAGTCCATTCAAACTGGGATAGTCTGATTATATTACATACATCATCTTGCATTTGAACATCAACACAGGAGCTTTGAGGGGACACCTCAAATCCAAAGTGTATTATTTTATCCCCCTAAGTTCATGTTCATCTCACAATACAAAATGCATTTAGTTCATCTTTATAGTCTCCATAGTCTAAATAGTTCTAGTATTGTCCAAAAGTCCAAGTGAAAAGTCTCATCTGAGACTCAAGACAAACTCTTGGCTTTGAACGTCTGTAAAGATCAAAAGCAAGTTACATATATCCAATATGTAATGGCAAAGAGTAAACTTTCCAACAGAGAGGAATAGGGGTATAGAAAGAATTTATAGAATGAAGGCAAGAATTAAACCCAGCCAGGCAAACATTTCCTGTGGCTCTACCTCTGGCATGTGGGACACATGATGGGGAGATACGATTTCCAAAGGGCTTTGGCAGCCTTGCCCCTTTGGCCTGGCTGGTCATGAACTTGTGGCCTCTTTCAGTTTGGTTTCTCTGCAGCCAGCAGCTTTCCTCAGAAGACAGTCCATGTTACTGGCATCTCTTAATTTAAGGGGTCTCCACTGTAGCTTTGGCTTCCTTTTCATGGCTTCACATATTGCCCTCTTAGGTGCTGCATGCAAGTATTTTGATACTGATATACTTTGCTTGGCCTCCCAGACTTGCCTTTGAAATCTTGATAGAAACTTCCAGGACTCCCTAACTCCAGTGTGCTGCATTCTTGCAGAATTAGCATCATGTGGATGATACAAAGGTTGGCTGCCAGCTTGAGCTTTGGACCATTGGACCATGAATGCAATGACATGTGTTTCCGTGATTAAACACAATGATATGAATTTTGGGAAAACAACTTTTGGGGCACCCAAGTGAATGTGGTGTCCTCATGGTCCTTTTGTTGTTGTTGTTATTTTGTTACCAGGATCGAACCCAGTGGTGCTTAATCATGGAACCACATCCCTAGCCCCCCCCCCTTTTTTTGATAAAGGATCTCACAGAGTTGCTTAGGGTCTTGCTAAGTTGCTGAGGCAAGCTTGAACTCATGATCCTCCTGTCTCAGCCTCCCAAGATGCTGGGATTATATGTACTTATTCTTTTCACTAAAATGCAAGTTTAAAAAATCATCAGACTCTTCTTTCTGCCTCTGATTCTCCCTGAAAACCTGGATTAAAAGATGCCTGCAAATTCCAGGCCACTGCCTAAATGCTGTGCTGCCTTGAAAATCTTCCACAAGATTAATTAGCCCATTACATTTATTCACTTATTTGATACCAGGAATTGAACTCAGAGTTGCTTTACATCCCCAGGGAGATACATCCCAGCACTTTTTTTTATTTTTATTTTTTATTTACTTATTTTTTTAAATATAGTTGTAGTTGGACACAATACCTTTATTCTATTTATTTATTTATTTATTTTTGTGTGGTGGATCAAATCCAGGGCCTTGCACATGCTAGGCAAGCATTCTATTGCTAAGCCAGAACCTCAGCCCCTTATTATTTTTTTTTTTTTGAGACAGGTTCTAGCTAACCTGCTGAGCCCTAAACTTGGAATCCTCTTGCTTCAGCCTCCCAAGTCACTGAGTTTACAGGTGTACACCACCATACCCAGAGGTCCATCACCCTTAAACTCAGCCTCACACAAATTCTCAGGACATGTACAAAAATGTAAACAAATTCTTCCGCCAGAATGTAACATGAATGGCCTCTAGTCCAGTTTCCAATAGAGTCCCCATTCCCTTCCGAAACCTCATGAGCACAGAATTTATTGTCTGCATTCCTCTCAGCATTCTGGTGTTCTGAAGCTCCCTCCACAATTACCCATTAAGGTTTGCTTATCTAATTCTAAGACTTCTCTAGCTTTAATCTCTAAACCTTTACAAATTCCTCCCACAAACCAGCTCCAAAGGACCCTGAACCACATAGTCCAGATTAGTCACAAAAAGTACCCCACTTCTAGTACCAATTTTCTGTGTTCATTTTTTGTCTCTGTGACTAAAACGCCCTGACAATTACAAGTTAGAGAAGTTTATTTGGTTCATGGTTTCAGAAGTTCAGTCCCTGGTAGGTCAACTCCATTGCTCTGGGCCCAAAATGAGGTAGAATATGTTAGAAAAGCCTTGGTGAATAAAGGAGTACTGCTTAGTTGATGCCAGTTGCTTATACGAGGGTTTTTTTCAGTCATTTTTCATACTAAAATAAATTCCTTCCTTCTGTTCATCCAAAGCCATAACATTTTCAAATAATATAAACGAATTACAAATTTTAAATATAGAAGAAATAGTTAAAAATCATTTTAAAAAGCACTACTATAGGAAATCTCTCACTATGATAAAACAAATCAATTTAAAAAAACTAGGGCCTGATGAAATAAAGAATCTAATGAAAATCAGTACACTGCAACCCTAGGGTATAATCATACTCTCTCTAATTTTCACACACTGTTGAATGTGTGCAGAACCTATAAATATGATAGGATCATCACAGGCAAATAATCACAGGAGTCTCTTGGTGTTCATTTTCTGTTGCACATAATAAATTACTACAATCTTAGTGGCTTAACACAACCCATTTATTATTTCACAGTTCTACATGTCAAAAGTCCAGGTAACTCAGACAGGCCCACATTCTGAAGGTCTCACACAGTGAAAATCTAGGTGTCACCTGGAGCAGTGGTATCATCTGAAGATGCAGTACTCTTCTAAACTCTTTCAGGTTGTGGCGGAATTCAGTTCCATGTGGTTGCACAACTGAGTTCCCATTTGTTTCCTGCTGACTAATAGCTCTCATGTGCTAGAGGCACATGTTTTAGTTTTGGAAATGTTGCCCTCTCATAACATGGTACTTAGTTCTTCAAGAGCCATCGGAGAATCTCTCTTACTTCCTGAAGGGTTTACTTGACTTGTTTAGACCTATTTCAAACAGTACCCCTTTTAATACTTATAGTTAGCTTACTAGGGGCCTTAATTGCATCTGCAAAATCCCTTCAACTTTGCCATGTAATATGATCTAATAACAGCCACATCATCAGGGCAACATCATCAGGGAATATTTAATTTGTGGTGAATGACTGTTAAAAATAGTATAAAATGAACATAAGCCTATAAACATTTGAGTGTAATAAAATGTTATAATCATATCTATAAACTTTAAATATTATTACCTCACTATTTACACAGTGCTTGTACATATTCTGCATCAGTTGATTTTCACGACCTCCTACCAGGGAGGCAGGAGATATCAGTCCATGTTATAGATGGGAAAAAAAAAAGTTTCTAATCATGTTTGGTGATGTTCAAAGGAGATGTTTCAGGGGTTATTATGTGTACTGAAGTTAATACTAAGTGGGTAGGGCTAAGTGTTGATATGGTGACTGTACTTTTATTTGTTCTATATGTTGGAGGTTCAATGTATGCTTTAATAACCACTGCATTGCATCATGATGTCTTGTTAAAGAAGAGAATTTAGAAGAAAATAGTTTAAAAAATTGTTTATATATATA